AGAGTATTTAAAAAACTTTAAAATGTATAGAAAATAAAACAAAAATAAAAGAACAAACAAAAAAAATAAAAAGTTTTTAAAATTCTTTATATAAAATTTTCGTTTTTTTTTGTTTTGTTTTCTTCCTTTTTTTTCTAACAATCTTTTTCCATGTTGCTTTTTTCTCTTATACTACTTTTTTTTTATTATTATTTTTAATGTGCATCCCTTTTGTGTTTTTTATTTGTTTGAAAAAAAATAAAAAGAACTTTTATCCTGTTCGTGATGAAAATAGAAGACGTGTATGTAGGTATGTGTTAATGTATTTGTAGTTGTTTAATTCTTTATTATTTTGAAAATTTCTTGCTGTTAGTTTTTTATAATTTCCTTTTTTGTTTTTAATTTTTTTTTTTATTTTTTTTTTCAAACTTACATTCCATATATTTTAAAGTTTCCGCCCCCCAAAACTTGTTGTCGTCGTAATACTTTTTATTTCTACTCATTTGAAAAAAAAAAATATAAAATATACTTACATGTTATATTTTTTGCTATTATTATGGTAGTGTTATAACAGCATATGCATGCCCATAATATGTGTGTGCGTGTAATTATTTAGATGAACGTGCATAACATTTATTATGAATATATCAGTGCATGTAATATTTTCTCGCTCTGCTTTCAAAATTTACTCTCTAACCATTTTTTCCTCTCTCTTTATCTAATACTCATTTATTTTTTGTTTTCTTGTTTTTTTGTTTTCTATCCTTATTAAAAAATTAATGGTAAAGGCTTGTTTAATTTTATTTTATCTCTTCTTATTTATTTTTTTATTATTATTATTATTTTTTTTTGAATTACTTGAACAAAAAGAAATTATAGAAAATAAAAACATTTTTTTTTCATTTATATAGAAAAAATCAAATAGAAAACTTCATCCTTTAGGTCCAGATGAATGAGCAAATAAATGAGCTATGTGATGTATAAGAGTCCTTTTTTTTTCAAAAAAAAAAAAAAAAATGTTGTGTACTTGATTTTTTATACATACATAAATACATATGTGCATTAAATTGTACAATATACAGTTATATATATGTATTTATTTTTTCTTTTTTTTTTTGAATTTTTGTTTTCCTTTTTTTTTTAAATAAAATGTAATGAAAATAATAATAATAAAAAAAAAGGAAAAGATTTTTATAGAAAATAAATACTTGCATAATTTTTTTTTTTAATTTTATTTTGCTTTTTTTTATTTCCTTTATTGTTTTATTTATTATTAAAGAATTTTTGTTCAATAAAGGATAAAGGATTAATTTACTATATTTTATGTTCGGATACATAAGACAAAAAGTTCATAATAATAAAAAAAAAATAAAAAGAGAAAATTATAAAAAATACACTCACAGTTATTCAGTATATAAATTCTAAAATGTTCTATATTTTAATCTGTGGTAATAAGTAACAATTGCCTAAATTAAATTAATAAAGTTGGGTCAAACCAATGGTTTGTAATGGTATCACTTTTCCCTTCAACAAGTTATTAAAATTATTTTCATTCATATACAAAACTATTTCTAGGTTTGCAAAACTATTTGCATATATTTAGGATAAACGATTCGCACAGTCTTTGAAATAAAGCAAAAATTAATATAAAGGGGGGCTAACATAATGTTCGATTTAAAGGGTTAAGTGTGTGAGTTAAGAAAAATAATCATATATTTTAAAGACGCGGAATTTACCACTGGCTTTCTGCGTTTATAGAAATTTATAAGTTGCCAAAAATGCAAATTTTACAAATTTCGAAAGGTGACAACTTGGTTTTCTTCTAAGGAAATAAGTTTCTAGTACAGATCTATGTACATCAAAAGTTTCAGCTTTCTATTTTCATGGGTGTAGAAGTATTGTAAACTTGTCTACGGACGAACGGACGGACATAATCAAACTAACAAGCACTTTTTTCAAAATTTTTTTTTCTAAAAGTGCTAAAAAGTATTGTACCTTATTTTCATTATACGAATTCAATTTATTCATTCCTTCAATTGCACTTCAATTAGTTATACAGCTGACTCACAAATTAAACAAAAAGTTACTGAATTTCTGAAAATTTAATATTAGCTTTGCTTATTCTGCAACACATTTTTTCAATTTAAGTAGTTTTTGCTTGAAACCACAGAATTATTTGTGTTTGTGTATAAAAATTTATATTGAGATAACATAAGTATATATTATAATATTATATACCTAGATATACATATATATATATGAATATATTTACTCTTCGATTCTGTTTTAATTTCTAACATTCATCTGTTATTTGTTTAACTTTCAATGCATTCATTTTTATTTATTATACGCTTTTGTGTTTGTTTTATATGTAAACATATATTATTAAAATAAAATAATTAATACTTAAATAATAATGATAAAAAGCTATTATAACTGTGTATGTACATATACGTGTACTGTATGTAAATGCATATTATACGAACTATTACATTTGTAGTTATTTAATGAAATTTATCAAACCAAAATTAATATAAGAACAAGAAAATATTCTTCCACAAAAATTATATTGAAAGAGAAAACCCTCTATCCAATATAAAAAATATTTTTAAAATATTTTGCAATTAATAGAAAAACCGTACCAAATTTCATATTAATTTAAGTATTTGTTGATTTACAATATTTTAGGAAATAAAGTATCATTCTTTTAATTTACAGTCTACATACATCTATGCCTATACCTACATAAGCATACTATTATATCTACAGTGGATTAGTATTGGAATAGAGGGTATTCCTTGTAGGTATTCTATATTATTTCATCATTAGAGTGCATCATTAGAAGCTATTCTAAGATAATAATAAATGATTAATTAATTTATATTAACAGTAGTTATCTAGATGAAATTGACCTATTATTATTATTATTGGAAGAGCTTAATATGTTTAAATATTGAATTTAACAAAAACCTTCGTATTACTACCGATTTATCTATACATACTCGCATATGATTATGTGAGAAGTGTTCATTATGTAGATACATTTTGTTAATTAACGTACATATACTATACATTACACATATCCTTTTTTATTTTATGACCAAATGCTCTACATTTAAGTTCTTAAAATATTTGACACATACTTATATAATTATTTCACTAACGAAAGATTTATAGAAGTTTATATATCCAATAAAGCAAATATGAACATATTATAGAATTACTACATAAATGGGACACAGAATATTATACTCATATCTTAAAATTTTTCTAATTGTTGATGTTAATAGAATCTACTAAGACAAATTTATTAAAGGCTGTCTCTTTTCATAGAAATCTCAATTTAGGTCAAATGAAAGTGTAATCACGTTCGTTGCAGTTTGAAATTAAATTTTTAAATTAATTTAATAATATTTTTGCTGCGCATATTTACATATTTCCGAATAAAGCGTATAAACAGACTGATTCAGAAATTAAGTACCGAATCGCATACATAATAGTGTTGAAAATCAACGTCAAAACGGCTATATCTCTGAGATATGCATTTTTGTTTGTAATTATTTTGGGACACTCTGCATGTTACACAATTTTTTTTTGCAAATTGTGTATGGTTTTTTATTTATAAGAAGCAAATATGACATTTTTTGAAGTAAAAAAATAGTAGATTTATTACTGGAAATCTACATAGAATAAAAATTGATTTATATGTATGTAAGTACACACGTGATATACGTTCATATATGATTGCGTTTAAATTGAAAAGAAAGAAAAAAGTTTGAAGAGTTACATTTAAAGCACGTCAATAGATTTTTTTGTGTACAAAGAACGCTAAAAAGTTTACATGAATGTATGTATTCAAATATATTCAATTATGTTTCTATTAATCAATTACAATAAAAAACTTTAAATTAATGATCTGGTACATGTTTATTGCATTATCTTTCAGTGACGGGCGTAAGAATTTTAAAAAAGATCAAAGTGACAAAATCATTAATTATTAATATTAAAACAAAGCTTCTGTAATAAAAATAATTTGCTGGAAAAACTTCAAAAGGTTTGAAGATTTTATAGGTCAAATGCTACTTCCTTGCTTATAAACATAAGCGAGGAAGTAGCATTTAAATTGTTAATATGAAAGGCAAATAAAATTTTAAAAATTTTTAAAAGTATGTAAAAATTAAGTTCTCTTTTTAAATTTTATTTTTTATAAACAAATTTTAATGTTATTAAAATTAAATAGCTTAAGTATATTACAGTACACCCTTACAACTCAGGTATGAGTCGCTAATGAAATTTTTATCGTATAATACTTTATTGCGAGCAGTAAAAACAAAAAATTTCAATTAAAACTTTATTGTTCTTTTTTAACTAATTTTATTTATTTCAGGTATTGGTATTACGTTGTTTCCTTACATCGCCTAGAAAAAATGTGAGTTCTTAAAACACTTTATCAGTAATTTACATATACCTATATATGTACGAGTATGTAACGTAAAAGCATTTTAATTATCTGTAAAAATTGAGCTGCTTAAGATTTACATACCATAGACAGAGTGTTAATTAATTTTTGAGAGCAATTCAAATTACAATTATTTCTTTCATCATTTTAGTCATAAAGAATAACAGAAAACTTAAAATTATTGTAAGTAACTAATAAAGAAATTACGTACTTCTAAAATTTATAGAAAAATAATGAACTTTCAAAGTAATTTCGATTAGAAAATCAATTGAACATGTTGTATTGTTAAAAATACAAGTCTATTATTAAAAATATAAGTACAACTGTAGGAAAGGTAACACAATATAAAATTAATTCTCTCTATGTTGCCTCCGATTGCATACCTTTTAATTTAAAAATTTGTCTTTTATTTTAAAACTTAATATGAAGGATACTAGTAGAAAGAATCCATTAGGTCCATTAATAATTTTTATTCTAAATTAACATAAAATATTTTATTTGAATTGTAAGTTTTGCTAATGTATTTGATTTGGTCATAAAATATTGGCATTAATTATTTTTTTAATTTGAAATTTAACAATCGATTGCAATTTTTTCTTTTCTTTTGGTTTTACTCAATATTATCTTTTTAAATAAATTTTATTTTAGAATTTTCAAATTGAGATTTTGTTATTAATTACAAAAGTATTTAACAATCTTAATATTTTCTATTTATTTTTTAGTTACTTATGCTTCTAAAAATTTACATTTAATAACAAAGAAAAACAAATAAAAATAAACAATGAAATTCGACTGAAACCTAACATTCCAGCTGAATTTTTTTCAATCCAATCTTTATAAACTGCAACATTAGTATAAACTCCAGGGTAGCCTATTATTCCACAACCTTTACCCCACGAAACAATTCCATTGATAACACCATCGAAAATAACTGGGCCCCCAGAATCACCTAAAAATTTAAAATTGAAAAGATGAAAAGTTACAAACTATACAAAATAACTATAAACTATACAACTATAAATTATACAAAAATTAATGGGGTAGATGTGATTAATTCATTGACACATAACATAAAAATAATTCTTGAGCATTTTAATTTACCTTGACAAGAATCTTTGACTCCATTAGCTGCACAAAACATACCATCCGTTATTTCATTAATTAATTTGTAGGCATCCCTACATTCTTGATGATCTACCAAATTAACGGTGGCTGTTAATAAATACTGACTGCCTGCTGATTCCTTTAAGAATATTCAATTGAAAAATAATTTTTAAACTCTAACATGTGTGTTATTACCATTTCTGTTGCACCCCATCCAGATATAGTAAGAGGTCGTCCAGTGGTCAAATCATTTCCAGTTCTGGTAAAGTTTATAGTTTTAACGTTTGCAGTAACTAAAATTACATACAAAGTTTGTAATAACTTAAAAGTTGTGATATTTTTAAGGTAATATAGAAATTTTAATTTTAAGTATTTAGGTGTAAGTTTAAATTTGTACAATATAGACTGTGAGTTAAAGAACTTTAAATAAAAACTCTATGATATTTAAAAGAATAAAATTACTTCGGACTTTCTTTAGAACTAAATTCGCTTTTAAACTGTCGACAATATAACCTTCATAGATGTGAGATGTGATCAATAATTACTTTATTTAAAACAACAACAATTGCCTCTGATTAAATGTAATAGGAAAAATTTCAATCTGTAGATCTTTTCTTAAGATTTGATAATTCTATCTAAATATATTGAGTTTCATAAATCTCCACCTAAATATATAGGATCTACCAATTTGAGTTTTCCTTGGGATTTCTGAACGGTAAATCGAGTGCTAACGCAATTTGCATTATAAACATTTATTTTTTTAGAATAAAATTTCATTTTTGTAGAAAAGGAATGAAAGAAGAAAAAAAAACAAGAAAATTAAATTAGATTTACAAAATTGCAATATTCAAACTTGATCACTTTATAAATAGCGAAACCTAAAATATAGCAACTGAAGTCGATGAAATCAGTGAATCACAAAAATGTATTGTGATGTATATGAAAATATAGTTATATGATTTTCTTGTAAAACAAATGTTTCCTTACTTACGTTGGAATGGTGCTGTCAAAAGTAATATTCCTACATCATGCCTAAAGTTTTGCATACTGAAATTAGGATGGACAATTACTTTGCTTACATCACGAGCCTGATGATCTCCTCTGGAAGAACGATCCAAAATACCCATAACAGTTATTAAATCGCTAGGTCTCCATTCCACAGTTGATTTTGGTCTAAAAATAATAAATGATTAAATATTAAAATTTTATAAAACAATTTTAAGTTTCGATTTTGTAATAATATATTGGAAAGAATTCAATAAAACTTATTTCAACCAAGATGAAAACGTTTTACCTATTTTACCTAATTAGAGGACCTATAATCTTATCGAGGAATGATTTTTTTACTTCTATTTCCTGTTTATTTTACGTTAAAAAAAATTTAAAATAACCGATAGTTGTTTTACTTTGTCTTCCCGTTAGTTTGTTTTTAAAACTTCTGCGCCATTTAGCAGAAAGCTAAACTTTTGTATACAAATAGATCTTCATTAGAAACTTACTTTTATAGAAGAATATTTTCATATATTTTTATATAGTATAGAAGACTATAGAATTTGGTAAACAATCGTATATCCGTGAGTCAATAAGTCACAACAAATAAGTTAGATAGTCATTTGCTAACTTAGGTCTTTACAGATTACTAGAGATTTAGTTTCAGCAAGTAACAAACTTATATTAAAGAAACATAAATAGATGACATACCAGGCGGTTCGTTAAGTGAATTCATTAAGCACAAAACGTGAACTATATAACAAAAACAAAACTTTTCCATTTCATTTTCAATGAGGGACCATTTAAATTTTAAGACCATCATACTAAAAGCAGATAAGCAATTGTAATATGTATTTTTTGTTCAAAGAAAGATTTTTTATTATTTTTAGGTCAACAATTAATTAAATATTGAGTTAGTATATTTATGTATTTATATTAATGTTAACTTCTCCCTGAATTTCAAAAGGAGCCCCATTTGGACATCGTTGGTATATAAAATTTAGCAAAATTATTATCTTTCCAAAATCAACCTGTATTACGCTATGAGTAAAAATGCTTTGCGTATATTTTATCACTTATTGGAAGCTCTATATCATAGGTTCCCAAGCTTTTTTCCCTCGTAGACCCCTTATCGTGTTTTTGAATTTTTGATAGACCCCCTTAGTACTTATTTATTTAGATTCATAATTTTTTGTAGCCCCCTAGCAGGTCTTCATAAAACACTTTGGAAATCACTGCAGTCTATCTTATTCTTTTATAAATTCTATCCGTTTTTATACCCGTAAGAACGTATGTTCGAACGGTATACTAAATTTGCCTTACCGCTTGTAACGCTAAGAAATAATGGTCAGAAATATAGACTCAAGTATATGTTTTTGATCAGCGCCAATTGTCCGTCCGTCTGTCCCAACGATAGCTCAAACACTAATTTAGCTAAATTCACCAAATTTTCATAAATGATTTTTTTATAGTAAATACCAGAATTCTATTTAAATTGGATATGTTCAGGGTACTGGTTCGGGTAGCTGCCATACAACTTCAAAATTTATTTCACTATACCTCAGAAACTATAAAAGCTATGGTATTGAAATTTCACACAAGCAAATATATTAGTAGGGCCAATGTGTTTGATAAAAGTCGTTGAAACTGCTTGGCTCTTTCTGGTAGCTGTCATAAAAATTCAACAGTAATTTGGCCATATCTTAAAAAATATTGAATACACAGTACTGAAATTTTGCATAAATTAATATAGTCCCATAGTCAGGTATGAGATATTCATAACTCGCACGTAGGATAACAAATTCGTACGGCTATCACAAGGTTGACACGGTCAACTCTATTTTGTCAAAAGTTTTCGAACACGAGATTATCGCACTTACAAATGCAAGTGTCATAATATCTGTGAAAATAAATCTACGAGTACTTATCTCGTATTATTTTTAAATGCTGGCTTAGGAATTTCAAGTATAGGTAATCACATTTTTGACAAAATAAAGTTTAAACAGTGAAGCGCGTGCCCAAATTAATCAATTACTGTCTGAATTTCTTTATTAGTTGGCAAATATAAAAATATATTTACAAAGTGATGATAAATCACTAAAAATTCACTCTTATCTTTCTAGCTAAGGCAAAAATAAAATATTTTAATATGATTCATATTTACTTAAAGAATAACAACGATACTTCTTATATTCATTTACAATGAAATTTTTAGATATGTTTTCTTAAAACTACAACACAAGTTACCCTATTTTCCCTGTTTTTTTCTATTTGCACGTATGCAGAGTAAGTTATCTTAGGTTAAATTTCAATTTACTACAATTTTCAATTACAATCTTATTAAAAATCATTTTCAAATTATTAAACAAGTATTATATTATACAATTATGAATACTGGTTAATGAAAAGTAATCCGAGTTATTAGACAATGTTGAATCTATAAATTTAATTTCCAAATTTTGACTTTAATTCTAAACAGAATTTTATATGTGACGGTAAATATTTTTTTAAATACCGGATACATCTATAATAATAAACGATATATTGTATAAAAAATCAAATGTAAAACCTATAAATAAAATAAATAGAAGCTAGTAGAAATTTATGATCTTTTATGTTTTAATAATATTTACCCAACAATTAAAAGATTGATAATATTGTTGACACTACTTTACTAAAACGAAGTTTTTATATTCTTCTCTATAAAATATTTTTAAAGCCACTGTATAACAATAGTGTTTAAGACGTGCTTAAGTCCAAAATGTTAATTGAAAGTAAAATTGAATATTTCTTGCCAAACTTTCATTTGGAAATTTTTTTTTGACCATAGTCGATTCGAAATGCAAATAAATTGAAAGACTTTTCAGTGAAATATAAAAATAAACATTTTATCAATTTCTTTAGAATCCTACACGATGTTTTAAAATCACGTTATTCCCTTAAACAAGCAACATAATAAGTTTCCCATCTCATGCTTGTAATGTAGAACAAATGATTTGTAATGTAGAACTTTTTATTTCAGTAAGCGAAAATACTGCTTTAAAAAAATCTATGTGAGTACTACTTTATTGAAATAATTTTCATTCATATACGCATATTTTTAAACGATTGCATACCTTTAGGATGAGCACTCTATGCATTCTTTGAAAGAGGCATTAACATTATGCTATATTTCAAGGGTTAATTGCATGATTTAAAAAATAAAAATTATATTTTTTAGTGCCATGGCATTGGCCGTTAGCTTTCTGCACTTATAGAAACTTGAAGAAGCTTGCATTTTCGGAAATATAAAGTGCCAAAAATTCAACTTTAACACATTTCTAGAGATGATAATTTTTTTGTAACGAAGTCAATAATTTATTAGTAGGTATCTAAATCTAATTTTAAACTCCTATAATCTGAGGTCTAGAAGAAAACCGATATAAAAAAAATAGGAAAAAAACGAATTTTAAACAACGGTAAATTTTTTACGGTCATTTTCTTTTTTTAAAGTTCAAATATGTTGTATCGAGGTAGCAGAAGCCAAGGAGAAGAAAAAATTTTCTTTAGCTTTTTATCTTCAAGGGTGTAGAAATTTTGTAAACATGTCCACGGACGGACAGACGGACAAAAAGAGTTAAACTAATAAGTACTTTTGTTAAAAAAATTTTTGGAAAAAAATTCAATAGGCATAATATTCAATTCTTAATTATCTAAATTAGTAAATTTTGTTTACTTAATATCGGAACAAGATATCAAATATGATTTCTATTAAACATAAAACACGACAAATTTTCCAATTAAAAAATCAAAATTAAAGGTATTCACGGTACTAAATTAAAAGTTCAAATAAAACATAAGCTTAACTTGGTAGTGTTTTATTTTGTGCTAAAACTAATTCACGTAGAAGTTAGAAATTACATTTCAATTCTCATATTATAATGTTCCAAAACTTACATAAATAAACAATGAGATGCAGTTAAGACCTTATTTGTTGAAATTAAAGCTCCACCGCAAATATGTCCTGCACCAAATTTCTTTTGATCATTCCATTTCAATCTAATTGACACCATATGTTCATTACCTTTAAGTTTTGCTAAATCTCCATCAATTATTCTTGGTTCGATTTTTTTCATTCCAGTTTTATTAAATTCTGACAATTTTAATTTTTCTAATAATGTTACCTCAGATAATGTTTTATTTAAAGTTCCATTAACTACTTGTGAATTTAATTTATTAATATTAAAAGTAAATATTTGTAAAGCTATTAAAAACAAGTAACTAGACCATTTTATTTTGTACGTGGGTAGCATATTTAAACACAATTTTTTTAATAATAAAAAAGACTAAAACACAACAAATTAATTCTATTCACTATTAGGTTAGAAATCACACTAAAAGTACGTACTCAATTACGAAAAAAAGTAAATGAAATGAAAAGTATCGATTTATAATTATATCGGATATTTTATCACAATGATATCGGTAATTTTTATCAATCAAAAGTCAAGTTCGCTTATACTCTGTTTTTATAGATAAGAATTCGACATGATTGTATCATAAGAGTGAAATTCGATTCGAAACACTTACAATTAAATTTGTCTAAAATTTTATTTCGGCGTGCCTAGTAACAGAAAATATTTTGTAAAATAACTTGTAATAAGCGCTTGTAATTAAAATTGATTCACAATTAAAAAGTAAGGGTGTATGTAAGTACTTATTTTATAAAGAATTTTGATTTTAAAATAGTACAAAATTAAACCAATTCGGTTCCTATTATTCACTGAGATTTCAGAATTTTGACTAACAATGAACTCTAATCAGAAAACAAAATACTTAAGAATAACTTTAAGATAAAAAAAAAGAAAACAAATATTAGTCAGAAGTGACACAAGTTTCAAGTGACAATCAAATGCTTATGCCTAATAATTATCTGCATACCTATAAATTATGTATACTTTGTAAGAAACGAATTCCCTTTTCACAATACGAAAGTTATTTGTCTAATATTAATTACTTCATATTATATTCAAGACTTCAAAAAAAAAAACGTAATTAAAATTGAAATATTTTTTCTGTGAGAACCCGTTTAATATGCCACTTGTTTCATAGGTTTTCATTCTATTGCATGATTGAAGGTAGTGATTAGGTTTTCACTTCGAATAAATCTATATTATTTTCGAGAGTAAACGCATAGTTCGGTTCATGTGCTTTCTTATGTGATTCATGCTTATTTTACATAAAATATTATAAGAAACAGAAAAATTTTGCTGAGAAAATGTATTGGTATCTAAACGTGACTGATAAATCCTCTTTGTATAAACTTTTAATTTAATATTTTAGCAATAAATTTAGTGCATATCAAATTATATTTTTGTTTTGTTGTAAATTGAAAATGATAAGAAACAATATATAATAGTATAGAGGAAAACGTTGTTAAATGCTTGAAATTTTACTTATAATTCATAGGGTTTTTCAAATTTCACGTATGTATAAGGTATAATAAGGGCATCAATTAAAATTTGTAAAGAAAATTTATATTACATTTAATTAATAACGACCACATATCTATAATATTTTTCAAAAATGATTGTATTTGATAGAAAATAAAATTCATGAACTCGTGCACTGTAAAAATATTATAACTCAATTCCGTTTAGAAAATCCTTTAAAAATTTACAAAGTTACACGATAAAAACAGTTTAACTATGGGCATATACTGTTACAACCACAATAATGTTATTTCCTGCTGCTATTTCAATGGTGACTTGCACTCATTTGATTAGTAACATTTTTAATTAATCGTAAAATTTTGGGACATGTCAAGTCACTGGAACTGGTTCTATATTACACAAGTCGATTTAACATGTTTGATTTTCTTTTAAATAAAATAATAAACGAATTTGTCGCAAATTTTATATTATGTAAGAATTAAATTTGCTTGTATAAAATAGTTTGGTTGTATCAGTACAAGTTCCAATGACTATAATTTTCAAATAAGAATAAATCCTTGTTTTTTTTTTAAATTCTTAAAAATATTGCTGAATTTTTAGAACACGTTTAAAAACATTAATTTTCTACATGAATTGGTAGATTATATGCAACACATAATTTTATCCAGTTTTTTCCTCCTCCTGAAAAAAAGCAGTTTTTGGATTTATACTCATTTGAACGCCGACCATAAATGTATAAATACACATTATTTTAAATTTTTACATTAATAATCATTATACAGAAACAATATTTCTGGCAGCACCAATAACATTGAGTGTATTGAAATAGTGAATAAGCTATTTAAGATATTAGAAGAAACGTAAACTTCAAGGAAAAATTGAAAATTTCAACAATTTAATCCAAATTATATAAAAATATAAGAGAGTATTCTCTTGGCTAATTAATATTATTGAGCTACTTTAAATTAAACCATTTCACTAGTTTCAAACATTTTCTCAATCACTCAGCAATTTCGAAATTGTTTTCAATATTTTTACATGCAAGTACTCAAGCACTAATTTCACTTTATCAAATATTATAATTTAACAATTGAATTGTATAATTGATTTAATTTACATTGGTGATATTTTAAACGCGAGGAAAGATCCCAAATACTTTAGTTTACGTAAAATAAGTTAACACAGTTATTCGCAAAACAGTTACTCGCAAATTTCAAGAATTTCTCATCAAAAAAAGTAAAATGTTTTTCTTATTTTCATTTTTATCTATACACATATAAATTTCTGTCGTAAGAACTTCCATACGTGATTCACTAAATTCACACATTTTAAATATTCAGCAAAACATACAAGTGATACTTTTAAATTTATTATACGAATTCTTAAACATTGGTGATAAAAATAAAATCAAAAAAATAAACAAAAGGTACATGAAGTCAACAACAATATTATCGCGTTAAACATTATTGCTATATAAACAATTGCTACCGCTTCTAACAAATGTACTTTATAATGTACATAATAAGTACGTAAATTGAAGTTTATCTAAACGGGAATACAATTTGAATCAAAAAAGCGTGTACCAAATAAATTTTGACAATATTTAGTCGCACGATTTTACATACAAAGTTAATATTATAGTTTAGAAAGTACTACTCTTAACAGTTTATTGTATGGAAGTGCCTACTGCACTTGTTCCTATAAAAAATTTTCCTATATCATTAACAAATTACTTTTAATCTAATAAGCTTTAGTACTCGATTTGAAATTAAATTTTTTGGAAAGGTAATAAACGTAATAAATAAATCAAAAATTAATTTTTTTATATTTTTAAATCTCAGAGTGTAAAATTGACAAAAAATAATTAAATGACTTTAAAATTTGATAAAAAATGAGACAACAAAAAAAAAAATTAATAATAAATTTCAAGAACTTTAATAACAAAAATCGCAAAAATTATATAAAAATATAAGATTATATTTGGAATTAGATTAGATAGCCAAATTTCTTATCAAATTGAATTATTATTGTATTATATAAATTAACTTTTCATTGAGCTTTTAAAAGAAAATGTCCACGTTACAACAATGATTTGTTTTAAAATTTATTGACGAAAAATTTTTATTAATACGCTTGAATTAATCTACAGATATTCACCGGCAGATTCGCTAATTAAAGAGATATTTCATAATTCAAGTACGAGTATTCTATTCGAATTCCAGGCAACTTTTATTTCAATTTTCAATTTTCAAAATATGAGAAGGATTTATTTTAGCGTCTTAATGTGCACGTTAACGCTACCAAAATTTATAATTTTTCACAATATCCAACATTTTTCATAACTAATAGAAGTTAAATAATAAAATTAATAGAAGTTAAGATTATTACACTTTCAATAATAACACTTACATTTATGGGATTAAATTAAAAAAATTAACCACTAAGAATCAATTGATTTGAGTCTACCAAGTTAGTATTTTCAACGATATAATTTGACTTATCAACTACTTAATTTTAACCCTAATGTAGTACTCGTATACAAAAACCCAATCCTATGTATAATACGAGTATAAATGTATAATAAAGTGCTTTACACAAAACCCACATCAGGGCCGAATTAAGGAAGTTGTATTCGAACGATTTATATGATATGAAATTAGCATTACGCAATATCAATTTTATTATATGCCATATAAATACAAAATATATACATATTGGTTTCATACCACATTTACAAGAATATTTTTTTTTAAAACACAAAAAAAAAAAAAAATTAATTAAACGTGCTTTATTCACTAGCAGTTAAAAGAATTTGGAAGAAAAAAATTATATACGAAAAAAAATATTTAACTTACACTAGTAAACAATGTGAAGCAGTTAAAACTGCTTTTGGTGTAATTAAAGCACCGCCACAAAAATGTCCACTACCAAATTTTATTAGTTCATTAGGTTTATATCTAATTGATACCATATGTTCATTGCCTCTAAGTTTTGCTATTTCGCCACCAATTATTTTTGGTTCTGATCTTTTAATTCCAGTTTGATTGAGTTCTAATACAGCTAATTTATCAAATAATGTGATACCAAATAATCCTCCATTTAAGGTTTCATTTAATGCATATGAATTAGAATTTTCAATATTAAAAGCACATATTTGTAAACTTATTAATAAAATAAAATTTATTGATATTTTTTTAAACATTTTAATAATTAAGCGAGCACTTTAATATTACTATACAGTACTAATCAGACTAAGAATAATTTTGTAATAAAAGGAAAATTCGATGTGATTTGTAATTATATAGCTGCTAAAAATTTTAATGCAAATTCTATTATTTTACTATCGATATTTTCTTATCAATTAATATTGAAAGTCAAATTCGTAAAACCCTTCAAGATAAGGTTTTTTGTATCTATTTATGTATGTATGTATAACAAAAATAAATTAGTTGTAGACGAAAAGCTCGTCACTAAAACAATAGATTCCAGGTTTTTTTTAATTATCTTCTGTTTTGTTTTTTATTTTAATATCAATTTGGTTTATTAAATTTCAGGCTTTTTTACAATTTCCTACTCGTATGTATAAAATGATTATACAAGAAATAATATAAAATTTCTTTCACACTTGAAATTCATCGTCGCCACAATATGTCCAGTTATTTGAAAACAGAAATTGAAAAATACTAGTTAAGCTGTTTTAAATTTGATTATTTTGAAATTTTAAATTTTGAACGATTTTTTACTTAACTCCAGCATCATATTTTCAAAATACAACAATGAAAACGTGTATCATGTATGTATTTATGATATATTTACTTCTATGAAATTTCAATACCACGACTTTCATAATTTCTAAAATATAGTCAAATAAATCTTGAAGTTGTACCGAACCAGCTACCTGAAGCAATACCTCGATTACGTCTAATTTAAATAGGGTTCTGGCACTTACTACAAGAAATCATTTGTGAAAATTTGGTGAACTTAGCTCAATTAGTTATTTAGTTATCGCCAATCATATTTTTAATATAGCAAAAAATATGTTACTAAAATTTATGTGTAATAGACCTTCGATTAATGAAAATTACTTAAATATCAACTGATTTCTTATTTATAGAAAGGTCGAAAGATTTTAACTGGTAAATTTTTACCTATTAAATCAGAATAAGAATATATTTTTAAAACATATTCTTAATCCGTCTTTTAGACGTTCAAATAATTTGGTGTCTGCTCGATCATTAAATTTTTTGAAAAGTATTGCAATAATTTTTTCAAATTATATAAGAATGTACATAGCGAATTTCATTAAAATTTTCGATTTTTTCGTACGCAAGAGTTTCTAAACTTAATCAAATTTTGAAAACTATCATATTTTTTTTAAAAATGTTTTCCAATAAATGATTTTGTGTTGTTTTTTTTTCTTTTATCTGAATTCAAACAACAAGAAGAAGTAAAAAAAAAAAATAGTTGAATAGTTGAATGAACCAGTTTACTATGTTGACATTTAAGTTGAATACTAATATACGAGTATCTAATCAAAATGAATGAGTTGAGAGTGGTGATTTTGTAAATAAATTAATTATACTAATTATAATAATTACATTGATTTAAAAAAAAAAATGTTTTTCCTCTATAAATACTATACAAATACAAATCAAATTCGAAGATATGTGCCCATTAATTTCACTCCGTCCATCCGCCCGCCAGTCAGTGCACCTACTGTTTTTTTTAATAATTTTATTACGATTTTTTACAAAAATCGAAAACAGAAATTTATTTTACAAACAGATCCACTGCAAAAAACCGATAAAAGAAATATGGTATCAATTCCCTTCTCTTTGAAAGTTCTGAGCCCACATATACAATTTTTAAGTAATTTAGTATATTGAAACCATAAAAATTTTTTTAAATTCAGCAAACGCACAAGCCACGTGAACATTAGATAGACAAACCTCAGATTAACTCATGTAATTGAATTGACAGTTGAACATAATGAAATTAAATTAAGTTGAAGTTTCTTTTAATTTTTCTCTTTTCTCCAAAAAGTATGCAATAAATCTTTTAGCATAACACTATTATTTTGGCATTTTATTAATGAGTATAATTGAAAACGTTTTTTTTGTTCAAAATGAGTGTGCTACCGTTTTTACATCTGCACAATTCTTAATATGTGCACCAGGATTTTTAGAGGAGTAAGTTTTGTCTAATTGTATGTGTTCACATAAAAACATACACATACCTGCTCATTTGACACTTCCATTAAGCGAATACACACAAACACATTTCCAGAAATAAATTTGAAAATTAACTTGTCTCTTTTCTAATAAAATGACAAAAAACTACGCGTTTATTTTTTGGAGTATATCAGATTAGATAAAAAAAAAATTTTAATTCCCTATTTCATTAAAAAACACTTAATGATCTACATCTACATTATGAAAATGAAAGTAACATAAAAAAATATCCGTATAATTTCACATTTCGATTGATTTTTTCGTTGGTGAGTCAACAAATTTTAAGTGGTTTTAATGAGTTTTACAAAAAGATCATTTATAATTACAAACCTTTTACAAATGGAATACTTTTTGAAGTACATTTGTATATGTACGTAAATGTACGTAAAGTTTCATAGAAAGTTGAAAAGCAAGTAATAGTTTAATAGGGACTTGCTTTTTTAAATGCATGTTAAATAGGAACAATGAACATAAAGATTTCATTGTTACATGTACAGCGAGATAATCGTGAAAACTACAATTTTGAAAAACCTCCTTATATATAGAAATCTTACGTATATTAAAAAAATATAACAATATTACAAAAAATAAATAACCTGCAAAATGACATTCATTTCATAATTTAAAAAAAAGGATAGGAATTTTTCTTATCTCACTCTTACTGTGAAATATTCGGTACATGTTCGTAAAATAATTATGGTTTAATAACACTACAATATATTACGTCACAACGTATTCTCCCCAGCTTACTAATACAAATTTAAAAGTAATTGTAAGATAATTTTATAGTCGTTCCCAAAAGAAACTTAACAAATAAAGTAAAAAAAATTATCAAAAATATGCAAAACGATAATTGTTATCATAAAAATAAAATTATTATAATTTTTTAAGCTATAAAGCATATTAAAATGTAGATTAAATAAATTTAAATATTAAGATAAATTTTGTACTTTTTGGGAAAATCGACGCGTAATTAAGGAGCGGCGCAATTGTACAATTTCATTCAAATACTTTAATCTCACAATTTAGTTTAAAGCTTTATTAAGAGAAAAAATATTGTTTTATAAAAATTTAAGTTAATTCAAAACATTATTTTTATTACAAATCTTAAAGGAAATTTTAAGAGTTTTAAAAATTGAGGATCTAATTTCTTACTTAAATTTAAAACTCATCAGATGAGTGAAGTGAAAACCGGGTTAAGTATACTCGGACAAGCGCTTACAATTTTTATTTCTCTATTTAAAAGAGTAAACGAAAAGTTCAACGGATGAACGAAATTCTAATTAGTAATTGGGAATTTTAATTGGTAAATCCCAAAATTTTTTAATGACCTCTAATAAATTTATTAAAAATTTTTTTTAAATTTGTTTATCCCGAAAATCACTCACTATATGACTTTTCACCCTAAAATTTTTACAAAAGGCAAATTTTAATGTTAAAATATTGGGCTTTGTTCAATTTAAGAGCTCAATTTAGAACCAGGTTTGTGTATTTGCTAAATATGTAAGAAATAATAACCGTAAGCAAAAACAATTTTTTGAATATATTGTGAACAATCGCACAATTATAATAATCCATGCAACCACATAAATATGATCAACAATATTTTAATTCTAAATATATTCGCATAACCTATACAAATAGATAATGTAAGATATTACATTACTTATCGTTGCATTATAGGGAGGATATCCATGATATACATACGTGTATTTTAAAATATTTGCATGTGTATATGCCCCTAAATTTTATATCATGAATTTCTGTTATATACATACATATTACTATTGTAATTGAAACAAAAATATACAAAGGCACTTAAGAAAATTATCTATACAATATTTAAAGTGTTATTTTTCATTTCAAATTTATTTTTCCTTGGGTGGCGATTGCTCGTGTGTATGGCCCGAGTTCACGTGTATACAATAAGTGAATACGATTTGTGTATCACACGAATTTTAAATTTTCTATTTTACAAATTAAAGAATAATTATTAATGAATCTAATCTCATACATTCAATTGCTGTTAATTAAAAGGAAGACATTTTGAAAGTAAATTTAATAATGATTAGCCTATATATCATTGAGTACTTTATCAATTGAGTCATAGATTAAAATATAATAAACCTTTAAAAAAAAGTTCGAAGATATTGTTAAAATAAAAGGTGATACTTAAGGAAAAGGGAAAGATTTTATTTGAGTTTAAAGTGTGTTCAATGCAATTAATCATTCAAATGACGATATTCAACAGGATGACGATTCAGTAGTAAATTTAATGAACATGATCTCCATTTGTTTATGTAATGTTACATCAAGCGGTTAATTTTCCTGTTAGGTCGTAAAAGTAGCTCGCAAATTATTTTATTGATTAAAATGCTCTATTAGAGGCTGCGATAATTTTATAAATAATTGAACGAAATGTTGCTTGGGCGTATATCTCTCGATAACGAAGTAAAATTTGAAAAATAAAGCTGCAAATGACAAAAAACGATTTTTACGAAGTACTCAATTTGAAATCCGCTCATGCCTATAAGAAAAACCGATTGTAATTTGAAATTATCAAAATTTGATGAATTTGCAAAATATCCTGAAATTTGAATTGGCTTAGGGTGATTAAGAAATGCCTTTATTAAGCTGGAAATAAAATGTATAAACGTTTTACTGATAAATTATACAAGTCCCAATCTTTTATTAAAAATAATTAATCTACACCTACTTTACAGTTTTACTATTATATCAGACACTCAAATTTTTGCTCGCAATTGAGTTCTTAAATTTTTAAACTAATAAAAGAGAATTGTATATAAGATTTTATTAAATTTAGAAAAAAAAGCTACTTGCAAGTATGTTTTCCTGCAGTAGCAATTATAAATAACTTTTATATATTATGAAAATGGATGAAAAGAGAAAAGTACTGAAAAATTTCACATAATTTTTTG